GGTGAGGCGATCCCTGCTCTTGATAGCCTCGAAGCTGCGACTCTGGGGCCAGAGGCCTGGTCTGGGTCTCAGCAACCTCATTCCTGCAATCTTCCCAGGGCCCCACAGGAGTGGCTAGGCAGACTCAGCCACACCTCCCCGGGACAGCGATATTCCCAGTACCCCTTGGGAGTGGCTAGGCAGGCTGCTGCCCCTCACAGAGCCTGTGATGGACTCAGACCCCTCTGGTGGCATCTGGCGCTGCCCACCCCACCTCCTTGGCCTGATGGACTGGTACCTTGTGGGCAGTGTCTGGCTCTGCCTGCCTGGCCTCCTCTGCCCCCAATGGATCTGGACCCACAGGAGTGGGCCATGGCTCCTGCTCCACCTGTATATGCAAACTAACAGTCATCTTTGGTGTTAATTTGCATACTCACTCTGATTGGCTGTGGGCATAATGGAGTTACGGTCAATTTACATGTTTGTCTATTATTAGGTAAGATTACCGTTTGCATTCAATATTGTTTTATATTAGTTTCAGGTGTACAACATAGTGGTTACATGATCATATATTTTATAAAGTGTTCCCCTGAATATTTCCATTACCCACCTGGCACCATTACTGTTATTTCTTACACCTCACATTTATGCATATTTTTCTACATAGAAATAAGATTTAATAAAAACCACTTAAAAGTAAATGTAGTTTGCAATGTTCCTGGGATGATACCAAAAAATTGATAGGGCTGCCTCCCAGGGGGGAGGGGAACCAGGTGGCTAAGAGCTGGGGTGGAGAAGATGGATGCTGAGCTTGTCTTCTAAAGGCCTTAATATAATAAAACAGACATATACATGGACACCTGTAGGACCAACGATGTTTGTACTCTGGACTGTGGTCCCAGATTGCCAGGAGGCTGGGTGTGTGTCCTCCTGTCCCACTCTGTCCAGTTAGGAGCACTTGGGCCATCCCCGCCCAGCAGCTGCGGCCATCACCAAACCCTTCTGGCTCAGCATGTGGACTTTGCTTTCTCGCTGGCGGGTTGCCAGGCCTACATGTCTACCTGGCCTGTGCCTGGCCCTGCTTTGAACCAAGAACAGGTTTTGTGTGGTCTTTGATTTGCGTTTTTCACTTTAAAAAATTTCTGTATTTATTAGTAGCATAAGGTAATACATGCTACATCTAAATGTAGGGAAGATGACCCTCCCACATCACAGAGGAGCATGTCACGTGATTCATGGCTTTAAGTACTGGTGCTGACTTCCTGGGCAGCATTAGACAAGAAACGAAACTCTTGACCACAGAAGGCTGGGCCAGAAGCAGCAGCACGCAGACTCTCCTGCACGGAAGGATGGCTCTGGTAAGTCCCCGCAGCCCTGTCAGTGGTGATGACGTGGGTCTCCTTGCTGGTCTACAGCTCAGGCACCGAGGGCCCGAGGGTCCGCTACCCGGGGTGGGAGGGCTCCCCGAGCGTCCTGAGGAGGCGGGAATGGTGGGGTCCGGGCGGGCAGCCTTGCCCACTGCCCAGTCCCTCTCCTCGGTCACACTGGCCTGCGTGGCTGGGACGAGCTGGGAGGGAGGGGCCAGGAGGACGGCTCCCAGCGGGTGGGCCGAGGAGGGGCTGCAGGCAGGCCTTCTTGTCCACCCTCATCTCCAAGCAGCGTGCCTGCCCCTCTGCTTCTCTTTCCGCCCTCTCCTCCCCTCCACATGCTGCTCCTTCCTCTGCCCCCAGGACAGCCACGTTTCCCAATGCTCGCCGCAGCCCGACAGCGCGCCAAAGCTTTTTATTTCATCTCTGCCTCAAATACGTGAGCACGTTCTCCCCAAACCACATGGAAACCTAACATTGAGGCAAAAGTCCCTGCACCGCTCCCCGCTCCCCCGCCCCCGTCCCTGTCCCTCCTCTGTGTGGCTGGGAATGTGTCCTGCCAGGTGATTTCCAGTCTGTTGCATATAGAAGTGTAGCCACCTTGTGAGTGTTGTTTTGTGGTTTTCATTTTGCTGTCATTCAGAACTTGGTTGTCTGAGTACAGATCACTCAGGAGATGCTTGCATCCTTTCCTTTATTAACCGCAATGAAATAATACGGTGATTCTTTCGCATCCTCCCAAGGTGACTAGCGCATTGTTTAAAGCGCCATCGTGAGCACATCGGTATCATTGTTCACGATCTGCTGTGCTCCTTTCTGATGCTCAGATTGTTCCATCTTCGGTCAGGTTGACACCTGACGCCTGTAGTCAAGAGCTTTTCTCTCAACCATGTCTCCCCAGCAGCCTTCCGGTTGGCAGCCATCCTCAGGTCACCCAGGGACAGCCACCCACCCTGCTCACGGCGGTCGGGCTCTGATACCGTGTGATAAGGGCGTGTCTCTCATGCCCAGTGGGACGGGGGCACATACTTCCTGCTCATGCAGACTCCAGAAGGTCACTGACCTGCCACCAGCTCCAGTCACGCCCTGGGGCCCCAGCTGGGTGTTGGCTTGGAGCCTGGACTCCAGCTCCCCGGCCCCCCTTGGAAGCTCTGGGCTTGGAAACACACAGACCTAGGTCTCAATCTTTCTCTTCTGCTCACTTCGTAAGGATGCGTGTTACCTAAGCTTCCTGAGACTCAGTCTTCCCATCTGTCCAATGGGGCCATGATAGTTTGTAGTCAGAGGAGTGGTGGGTATGGTGTATGGGCCTGTTGAGCACCGTGTCTGGCTGCGCAAACCGGGGCTCCATCACTCAGAGTCACGCAGGCTGGCGAAGATGGCGGCTTTTCTGGGGCATTTGGGACTTCCTGGGAGTCATATACTCACTCTCTGACACCAACATGCTCTGGCATAGCGTGTGCTCACGCCCATGTCTGCACACTTCTCGGCCACACCCCGTGCTGTACCCCCATCCACACCTCCCCTCCAGACACCCTGTCCATCTCTCCTTTGTCCCCGTGAGCTCAGGTCCAGCTCAGCAGCCCCAGCAAAGGAGGCCTTTCCATCTGAGCAAGGAGCGCCCTCTTCTGTTTCCTGCAGGAGCTGGTCACAGGGAGCTCGCAGGCTGGGCAGGGCTCCTTATGGGTCAGATTATCTGCCCTTGTATTCCTTTAACCCTTTCATCCTCATTGCAAACATCTATGTCTTGGTTTCAGTTCAAGCCTCTGCAAAGTTATTGTTCCGGGATGTGGGTCTGCACCGTGCAGCAGCAAGGGCTGCCCGGATGATAGATCAGCAGTCTCCTGTCACTGCGGGGAGAGGGGGGGTGCGGGGGGTGGAAGGGGAGGAAGGCTTAAGTGTCTTCACTCTGTTCCTATAACCACGCATGCTGTGCTTATCCCTTACAACGCAGTGTCAGGAGGGCCAGGCTGCTGCCCCCATTCCCGCAGTAGCCTAGGATCCTGGCTTCCCTCCGTCCAGCAGGCTGAGGCCGGGCCGCCCGCACTGATGCTCATCTGTCCTTTGCAAACGTTCATTCAAGGACTTCTGAGCCCCAAGTGTTCCCTCCTTCACACGCCCTTTATAACACCAGCCTCCTCTGTGCAGTCAGAGTGGAGCCGAAGGAAGCCGGCCTGCTGCTGACTGACACGGGGAGCGGGCCTGAGTCGGAATGAAGCGGGCAGTGCGGGCTGTTCCTCTCCCAGCCACTCACATGGGGCCAAGTCAGGATTCTCCTCAGAAACCCGCCCTAGGTCTGTCTGAGTGTTCTTCTGTGTGAGTATTCCTCTGTCTGGGTATTCCTCTGTGTGAGTATTCCTCTGTTTGAGCATTCCTCTGTCTGAGTATTCCTCTGTCTGAGTATTCCTCTGTCTGAGTATTCCTCTGTCTGAGTATTCCTCTGTCATAATGGAGGCCTAGTGGCTTGTTAGGACAACAGGCATCCTGGTCCCTGTCACCTGGCCTTGGGGCTTTGGGGGAGCTTTCTCCACTATCCTCTCAGTCTCCTCCTCTGCACGGTGGATCTGACATGGTTATGAGAGGGGGGCAGATTGAGACCATAAAGGATCTGCGAAGTCCCCCCAGTGCTGACGCCTGGAAAGCATCCGTTCTGAGGGTCTTGGCCCGCTTCCGCCAGCACCGTCTGTGGGCAGGGGGGGCCTCTCACGGCTTTGCTGAGTGCACGACCCTCAGGGACCATCCTGGCGTCTCCCCCGCCTCGTCCCTGTTTTCCAAGTATCCGCTTCCTTGTCCAGACCCTCCCCGGTCAGCGCAGAGCCAGGTGATCTCGCTCCAAAAGCCGCTGCCCAGTCACCACACGGGAGCTGCAGCTCAGTCCCTGGGCCCCCAGAACCACTCTGGACCGGGCTCAGTCCCAGGGCCCCCAGAACTATCCTGGCCCAGCCCTGGTCGTGAGAGCTCACAGGTGGTCCCCCAACTCTGAACTTGCTTCCGGCTCCCAGTGGCCAGCCCTACCCTAGAGCGTCCGGCACGGCCTGTGTCCTTCCTGCGGCTTCTTGAGCCTCTCAGTACCCATAGGGCTGCTGTCGCCTCACACCTACGGCTCCTCCCCCTCGCTCTTTCCCACCTCCCCTTCGCTCTCCTGGGCGCCTGCTGCCCTGCAATCACCCGCTCCTCTGTGGTGCCCTGGAGGGGCCCCGTCTCTCCTGAGTGAGCTGGGTGTGTCCGAGGCCAGGCCCTGATGGGAAGGGTGACGCCCTGTCTCTTGTGCTGCAGGGGTATTTTGTGGCCTTTGCATTCGGCATAATAGCCAGCATGGTAGCCAACTTTGCAACTAGCAAGTCACCAAGCCTGATCGGGACGACTGCGTCCAGGATGGCCTCCAACGTGTCCATGCAGAACAGACCCAAGGAAAAGCGGTAAGATCAAGGAATCATTCCAGAGTCAACCAGGTAGTCTGGAGAGGACTTGCTGAGCCAGCAGGGTTGGGTTTGGAATTGATTTCACTGTTTTACTCTCATTGTAGATCATGACTTTTAAAAACACGTCTTTATTGTCTTTTTTGTTTTTCCTCTTAGAAATTGAGTAAGGGGCGAGGAACAGAGACAAACCTCAAAGGGAGAAATTCTTCAATAGCCGCCTCCTGCATGCTTTCTACTGGGGATGGAGCCTCTGGGAATTGAACCAAAGACCTCTAATTTCATGGATCAACCACTGAGCAACACCAGCCAGGCCACTGAGGCTGGTTTCCATGGAGCTATAAAAGCACAAGAAGACTTTATTTGGGGAAACACAGCCTAGCTTGAATGCTATTAAAGACACAGTTGTCTCTGTCATGGACTCAGTGCTTGTGTCCCCGTGCCTACCCCATCCACGTTGAAGCCCTAACCCCCAATGTGATGGCATTTGGAGCTGGGCCTCTGGGAGGGCATGAGGTTCAGAGGTCATGAGGTGGTGGCGAGGGTGCGGGGTTGGCATGACGGGTCCGTGCCCTTTCAATCAGACCAGAGCTCTCTCTCCCATGTGAGGACATAGCGAGAAGGTGGCCATTTCAAGGCAGGAAGAGGGTTCCTCCAGGACCTGCCCCTGCCAGCACCTTAGCCATGAACTCGTCAGCTTCCAGGTTGTGAGAAATAAGTGTCTGTGCTGAAGCCCCAGCCGGTGGCATGTTGCCATGGCAGCTGGAGCTCATGAACTGGGCTCTTCCCCAGCTGCCCGAGGGCATCCTGGCATTCTCTGCTTTCCTCGGGGCTCCTCCTGGAGGGCACACCTGTGAGGGCAGAGCAGGACCCATGGCCGCCAGGGCCAGGCTCAGCAGCGGGATCTGTGCTGAGGATGCTGAGCCAGAAATGGGACTCCCCGCAGCTGCCGAGGCGCCCTTCCTGCTGCTGATCTCCACGCCTCTGGGCTCCGGAATAATTAGAATCCTGTTCTACCCACCGAGCTGGTCCCTGACACCTCCCTTCACAGCTTTCCCTTCTGAATCAGCACAGCAGCATCTTCCTTCAAGGTTGCAGCTCCTGATTCCCTGTTCAAGTCCCCGAGAGAGAATCTGATTGGCTCGGCCCACCGTCCCAGCTCAGCCACCTGATGGCTGCTGTGGGGTCAGGTGAGCACACTAAGCCAATCAGTTCTGAGGGATGAGGCCAGTCCCAAGGTTTGAACCTGACCCGGGAGGCAGAGGCAGTTTCCCTTGGAGGGGACTGTGGGTGAGCCCAACTGCAGGGACTGGCACCCCTGGTCCAGGCCACCCAGGGGAGGGGGCGGAGCTGGCACCACCCTTGGGTCCCTCCAGAGCCGCTGGGAGCCTGGGTCTGGTTCCAGGGGAGATTCCCTGCCTAGAATTAGAGCCCGGAGCTCACATCTCCCACAAGACCAGAGTCCCCGGATACCCTCTCCCACTGCTCTTGGGGGAGCTCTGGACAAGAGGCCAGAAGCCGCCTCCGTCTCTCACCCGCTGGTAATGGGGCTCACAGCCAGCTGTGCCCTCTGACCCAGAACCCCCGCCTGGAGGCTGACCTTTCCCCCGGGGCATCTGAGCAGGGCGCTCTGTGGCAGCAAGTGCAGGTCATTCTCTTTGTTCTTCCGCCTTCTGATGCCCGAGCTTCGTCCCAGCCTGGTGTCTGGGCACCGAGGGGATCAGACCCCTCCACCCCACTTTCTCCTGCAGGGGAGGTACTGTCAGGAGAGGGGACGCTCCCAGGACTCCAGTGAGGGTGTCAGGCCTGTGGCAGAGGCCAGGCGAGGAAGTAGAGGGCAGGGGGCCCTGCCCCCTTTGAGACCACACCCAGGGCTCGCTAGGTACTAGCAGAGGGATGCTCTGAGGAGGGTAAGTTTCATAAAAGACTTCATTTTATTCTTAGAGAAATTTGATGTTTAGAGAGAAATTGAGAGAAAGATGCAGAGATTTCCCATGGGCCCCTGCCCTTCACTCTCGCAGAGCCTCCCCCATTACCGACCCCCCTGACCCCAGCGGGTGTTTTTGGTGTCACTGAAGACCCTCCATCGGCACAACACAACACCCCACGGGCCTTATGCAGCCCCGGCTCTGGGTGTGGCGCCGTCTGTGAATCTGGACACATGATAACGACATGCCTCCCTCAGCACAGAGTCACACAGCGTTTCACTGCCCCCAACGTGGAGGCCACTCGTCTCAATCTTCCACCCGGGCAGCTTGAGCCGTGGCGAGGGGGGCGCGGGGAGATGGTCAAACCCACGCGGGCGTCACAGATGGGTGAGGACTTGACCTTTGAGTTAAAGAAGAAAAACAAGCCCGGTGGCTCAGCGGCTGAGTCCCCACCAGCAGGTCACAGTTGGGTTCCCGATGGGCACACGTGCCCCGGTCGCGGCTCAATTCCTGGTGTGGGACGTGAGGAGGCAGCTGATCGATGCTCCTCTGTCATCACTGATGTTTCCCTCTCTCCTTCTCCCTTCCTCTCTGAAGAACAAAGTGTGAAAGAAAAACAAAACGTCTAAAAGGAGGGCTGACTGGAGGAGGCAGGAGGGACGGGAGAGATGCTGGAGGTGTTGATGCCTCATCAGGGGATTCAGGGCCAGAGGTGGGCCTGCAGGGGAGGGACCTGTGTTTGGTTTCGCACCATGAGAGGAGATGAGTGGTGTCTGCTGATGGCAGGGGGCAGACCACAGACATTGAGCACCTATTCCAGGCCGGCAGGGGCTGGGATCCCCCACCCACCGCCTTCTCCGGTCCCCTCGCTGTCCTCTTAGAGTGGATCCTGGCCCCCAGCTGGAGAGGAAGGCCACACGGAGGGAAAACGCTGGCTTCCCCCACAGGCGCCCCGGGACTTCCGTTCTGGTTCAGGCACCACAGAAGCAGCGGGATTGCTCCCGGGAGGGTCCATTGGTTCAGGTGTGAGTTCTTGAGTCTTGGCACAGTCAGTCCATCCTCCAGCCAGGGAGGGAGGGAGGGCCAGTGAGAGACAGGACAACAGGTTGTCTGAGAGCTCAGGTCAGGGGCACAGGACGATGCGAGGTCGTTTCTACAGCGGCTTCTAACGCGGGGTTTTGTGCCCCTCAGGCTGTTACTAGCGCTGGGATAGTGTGTTCTTGACAACATAGGCAGCCCCAGCCAAGGCTCCGCACACAGTAGCTGCTGTGCCCACAGCTGGAAGTGTTGTGGCCTGGAAGTTTTCTGCCTGAAAAAGAGCAGCCCAGGCTCACCATCCACAGCAAGTCCAGACAGGTCCTCCCTCCGCCAAAGGGGCTGGAGGCCACACTCTGCTCCCGCCCTCCCCTCAGAGATGCTGGCCTTGTCCCCACATCCCTTCCCTGGGGAGCCGGAAGTGTGACCGCTTGTTAGTGCTGGGCTGGTCAGGTTGTGTCCTGACACCCGGCAGATGGACGGATGGAATCCTTGTGTGTGAGCCTCCTGGGTGGGGCCACTCAGTCCTGACGGGGGTGAATAGGGGAGGGGGCTTCCTTCCTGGGCTCCTGGGGCCAGAGCTCTGGGGGTAAAAGTGGGAATGGCATAAGAGGGAAAGAGGAGAAGGGTAAGGCTGTGCTCAGACCTTACACAACATGTTGTTGAGCTCTCACATAGGCCACAGCCATGAGCATCTCTTGGTGAGGGCTCTCTGGGGCCTTAGGACACCTGACACGGTGCTGGGCTGGCCCAGACTTTCCCTGACAGCACACAGGGCATCAGGAGCTGCCTTTAGGGCGGGTCTTAGAGACAAAGGATCCTAAAGGGACAGAGGAGCCCAGAGCTCCCGAGGTCCTCCAACAACCCCTCCTTCTGCACATGGGGAAACTGAGGCCAGAGAGGAAGTGCCCTGTCCAAAGACCCTGAATGGATCCAAAGCAGATGTGAGATTTGTTCTCAAACATCCTGACTCCCAGCCAACAAGACCCTGAGAGCTCCCTTTAGATTTATTCAGGGTCATTCTTGTTGCCCCCACTCCAAGCAGAGCTCCAGAGGGAGAGGGAGCCCCCAGAGAGGGCCTTACCTGCCGGCTGCGGGCCTTGCCGTATCTCAGGTCCGTGACAAAGTGCTCACAGTTCTTTTTCAGAACATCGTACGCCAACTCCTTACCAACCATCTTCTCCGCAGACCTGATGATCTTGTTCACGGGCAGCGGTGAGTACTCCTGGTCCAAGTGGTTGTTGACCCGATAGCGGCAGCCCCCCACCGCATCCTTCAGGAGCTGCTTTTTCACCATCCCTTTGCTGCCCATGACGGAGAGGAAGCTGCTGGTGGCAGGCCCAGGGAACCCATCTGGAATCAGACACATGAGTATCTGCAACTGCAGGGAGGCCAGGGAGGGAGAGAGGACCCAAGGCAGGGAGGAAGGGCCAGGGGATCACACTCTTGAGCTCTGGTGTCTGTCCCCTCACCAATGGGATTGGAGGATTCCATCATTTTGATCTTTCCCTTAAGGAGCTGTGAGTACTTTTCATGTTAAACAATGTTGTGATGGTCAGTGGCTGCCACTGTGTTCCATTATATGAATGGACACCATCTAGTTGACCATGTCCCTACTATTGGCTGGTCCAGAGCTTATTCATTGTAAACAACGATAGTAAATTGTATTTGTTCATCTTTGCACGTGTGTGTTTCAGAGAGAGCTCACAGTTGTTCTGGTCCCACTGGGTTTCAGACTCTGCTGTGCAAGTTTCTCACATTCCCTCATTATTCTCCTTTTGAACTTCAGGGTAAAACTCTCATGTTCATTTCAGAACCGATAGTGGACCTGAGGCATCATTGGCCTTTTCTGGCCCAGCTCTGGCCACATGGAGAGGCCACCCAGCGCTTCCAGCTAGTGGCGTCCAGTCCATTGAGCCTGGAGCCAGGTTTGGCTCTCTAAAAGGAGGGAACTGAGGAGCACGCTAACCAGCAGGCTCCTTTGTGTGTGAGGCTCCAGGCTGGTGCTGCACTTAGCACTGCTCTTGAGGAAGCACGACCTGCTCGCTCCCACACAAGCAGAACCCGCTCCCCACACTCACCTCCCTGTTCCAAGCCTGAGTGTCGCCTGGATTAGGGGGTTTTGCTTACTATTTGCCATCAATGCAGACAGTTCTCAATGCTGTCAGTGTATGTGACAGTGCATAGGAACCTGGTCAGTTACAAGGAGATTCTTGTGATCATGAGATGGTTTCTGTCCAGCAAGAACGCAAACCCTTGCTATTGGGCGTGTGGGTGCCATTGCTCTGCAGGGCACCAGCCCCCGTGCCTCCAAGTCCACGGTCTCATCCCAGCACCTTCCTGTCATGGACGTACACATGTGTGGGCCCTGCCTTCTCCTCTGACTGCCTGTCATCCTGCTTCTTCTCTCCCTGTGCTACATCAGGGTCCAGGTGCTCGTGTGCGTGTGTGCGAGACTCTCTGTGACATGTAACCTGGGAGAGCTGCTGCGTGGGGGGTGTTCAGGAAACCCTCTCAGGACGCCCTGTTCTGTGACATTCTCTGAGCACAGGACACAGCCTGAGAGGCAGTCCCTCCATGAGACCGGGACACACAG